GGTTTAACTTCCTCTCGACTGATTTCAGCCACTCTAAAGGTGTGAAGGGTATTCCAGTCCGACTTTGCGCCAAAACACAGATGGTTTCTCCAGACAATGCAGATCCAGCGCAAGATAAAGAGGCGGAAGTTTGCTATTGCAAAGTGAAACTATTTCGTGATCATGGTGCGGAGCGAAAACTATCGAATGACGTTGCCCACGTTAAGAAGTCCATTGAGAAACTCAGACAGCAGATCGCTCAGGCTGAAATGGGAGCTGGCAACTACGGAAAGCGGAAGCGTAGCGGTGGCTCGATTGCACTGAAAGGTGCCGACGCTCGCCCTACGAAGATCACAAAACACAAGCGGACATGGTCAATGGGCTCCCAAGATGGTGACCGATTGTCTATGGAAGATGATCTACATATCAAACTGGCTTTAATGCAAGAAATGTTCACATCTACCCGGCCAGTGAGCATTCTTGGCTTGCAGGGTGACGAGCAGGACGACCCCGACCTTTACCCGGTTCAACTCCCCGAGCCTCGTGATTTTGTCAAGAAGGAGGGCAAGAGTGGCCCTCGGTTCAGCATTGACGGGTCAACTGGTTTATCGACCTTGTCCCCGACGAACAGTTGCATTTCGTTGAGCTCAACTTGCCATACCCCGACCGTCCAATCACAAACGGGCTTATATTATGATTCAGGCTATCAATGCTCGGTGAATACATCTGCAGAAAACTCACGACCCGGTTCCGAAGTTTGCGGAGACAAAGTTGTTTTGAAGCATCCCATAAAAATCCAGAGGGTAGCGAATGGAGACGGGGATATGCCCATGGGATTTATTGAGGCGGTGGATATCGATCCAACATATAGACCCCCGGCCGAACGCCAGCCCAAGCCCAGTAAGTAGCATGAAATAAAACATGCGTCATGCTACCCTTGCTAACCATGGCTTAGTCGCATGTTTTTACATTCGATTCCCACGCAATGATCAAGCTAAAGATGATTATTACCGGGCTGTTTATTTGACAGAACGGACCGTCCGCGATTTGATGGAGAAGATCTCTGTCAAACAACGCATAGATCCACAGCGTATAGTGCGCGTGCTTCGAGTCAATAAAAATGGTCTGAAGATCATGGTTGATGACGATGTGGTTCGCGAGCTGCCTGATGGCCAAGACATGGTGGTCGAGATCTCCGAGGCCGCTGCTCTTGATAGCGCAACAGCCATCGATTCCGACAATATGAGCTCTGGTGTTGAGCTCAAGCTAAACTACTAACTCCTTTACTGGCCCATCCGTGTCTTCTTAAAGGCTTTAGTCTGAAACGTTTAGTTTCCATGTTTCATTTACTCTAACTCACGTTGGCAATGATAATTACTAAAGCAAAGTGGTCCTTTGCGGGCCGTCCTGTTTTTCTTATCGGCGCCTGGTGCGCATCAAACCGACTCGATCTCTCACCATCATGTTAGGTCTTTAATACCTTCATTTATGTTCTTTATGTTCTCATTATTTCTTTTCCATTTGGAGTTTCGGTTGTGAATTCTGTTGGGGGCGTTGGATACGGGGATAATACACGAATCTCCGAGCAATGATACCCTGCCGTTATATGAGTTTTTGATCATCTCGCGATTCTCACTTTCTTGTGCCATATTTACGATATCCTAAATCCTATCTGCACACGAATCATCTTTTTCCTTGCCTCCTCACTCCTCACTCTGTCTTTCCTTCTTTCCAGGCTGGTGGGAATACACGTCCACAAGCATTGTTATTGGTTTCATGACTTTGTTGTTCGAGGCGAACTGAATCAAGGGCTCAGCATACGATATAGATACCCTGTTCCGTTTATGTGATACTTGGGCATGATTGTTTTGTTACACTTTGCAAAGCCTTATTTTTTCGTTTTTGAGCGTGGACTGGTTTGTCTGTTCAATGGGGTTTACGATCTAACTCCTGTGTTACCATTCAATTTCTCAGCCGGCCTAGGACCCTGTCATGATTTGTGCGGGAACGTGGCCGGCTCCTGTTGGCATGATATAATCTCTTCTGCTGGAATGTCTTGAACGAAGCAGTATCAACTATTGATCATATGAACCGCTCGGAAGCGGAGGATTGGGATATATTACGTGTTGTGCACCAAAACCTAAGCTCAGAGTATACAGATCAATTAAAAAAAATAGTCGGGTTATTCAAAAGTTCATATGACAGGTGTTCTTCTGTTCATCTTTTTTTTTTTATTTTACCTCCGAACATCTCCACTGACAGAGTCCGAGTTGACTATTTGCGCACTATGCGGAAGATTCCAGGGTCACGTGTGAACACTTCGCAAAAGCGGCTGCATTAGCGGGCCGTGCTACTAGTAGTCCCAGAGCGACTTTTCTATAAGCTTACCTAGTAGCGCTGGTCTTTTGATCTGGAACTAATATCAATATGAATCACGCATGCTCTATATATTAATGCTATCTTCGAGGGCAAATGTACAGTACTTCAGGCCAGGATTTAAAATCGGGATGAAGGAGTACTACTACGGTTGCCGCGGTGCAGGGAAAACTATCCTAATGACCGACAGTTACTCCAATCGACGAGGTGTTGCATTCCAATCTCCAAATTAGGTTGAGGAATCTAGAACCCGATCGTCTCCTTCAACATTCGTCGGGACGATCATACGCTTCGGGATCTGCTCTGGTGGCCCAAATTGGGAACTAAGCCGTGACCACATGGCCGAACCTTTTTAAGTTACTGCATGCAATGTCCATCTTGCCTGGATTGGGCCACAGCCACATTTCTATTATGGAAATTGGACAACGATAAGAGCCCCATACAAGGCGGAGCTGTCGCTTCTGATAACTGAGAGGAAGTCTGCGATCCTACTTATTCCGTATCGAAGATTTGTTCAAGTTGTGTCCTTCAGGGGCCACACGTTATACCCTGGGGGAAAATCGTGGACGATTGTTAGAACGGTAGGTAGTAGGTATGCGGAGAGTACCTGATTTCAAATCTTTAACCAATCATTGATTGCTAAATTGAGACATTATGAATCGTACTGAGGTATAGGTATCCACCTTCCAGGCCCTTCTTTCCATCAATAAATCCTCGATTTGATTCGTCCTTACATTCCTTTTGTCGATTTTTTTTTAGGAGGAGACGCGCAAGCTGGCCCATACGATGTTGAATTCTTCTGCGCCAATTGACCTATTATCCAAGATTATTTGGATCAGGGGCACTTGAGGGTCTAGATCGGTTATCGTTTCCGTAAACGCATCTGGATAAAGGCACCCCTGGGGGTCTGACATCATAGCTACCTTTCCATCACTCACAAATTTTCTTGGGGTACCTCGCAATGTCGTCATAATTTGGAACCGACTCGTCAAATTTCCTTGGAAAAACGAATTAGCGGTATATTGGCGCGTGCTCCCCACTCGGGTCGTGCCGATGTGGGCCTGCAAACCTGTCCATGTAACAATCGCTAATTTAGCCTGGAACGGTTTTTTCCGTACGTACGAGTGTACACCGTACGTATGGGCATACATAGCGACGGAAACTAGACGGTATACGGTATTCGTATTTCATAGCGTCCGTGTTTGCTCCTTATCCTGAACTACCTTGGTATGTGTTGCACCTGGGATATCGTTCAGAAGGTCAGAGAGATAGGAGTCTTGTATGCAACCGCACATTCAATCAACTGGTATTCGCATCGTGCAATTTGACTCGGGGATCTTTCCTTTCGTTCGAGTCTGTATCGCATCCATATCCTCGAACGGTTCACAGAGTAACAGCAGCTTGTTTTTCGCAGGACGCTCGTCTTGAATTTGGCTCAATTAAGCTCATCCTAGCTTGAACCAGTGGCATTACGGGCGAATTACCCTGGGCTGGTAATGTACGGGGCCCGAGGGTCTGGATGCCTAGTGGACAGGCCATTAACCCATTTTCTCCCTGTATATCATCAGAGACTGGGGTGATTGGCCGATCCTGAAGTGCAGAGGGCTAATACTGGATGGGCTATAGGCTCCCTACTGGGGTGGGAAGCACGTCTCGGTCGATCTAATTGACCTCACGTTATGTGAGTGGCAACTCTGTGCACCGATGGTGGATACGATGCTCAGTGTGGCTTCGGCACCGTTCGAGGTGGAGGTAGAATCGCCGAATTTTCTGTCGATTGAACGGGTTCTAGCCAGGGCACACTCAGGGTCCAATGTATTGCACAGTTGTTATGCACAAATAGTCCTGTGTTGGCGGTTTCAATTCCTTAGTGGCCGTTGAGGTCCACCTCCGATGAAGCTGTCCTATCAGTTCAAGCCCCCCCAAATTGTTGCCTTAGACATCCATTCGCTTTCTAAATACAGTCTTTTCTTATACTCGAGCGTAGCTGGGGTTTTAAGATGGATATCTCATGGTTTATTCACCCTCTCGTGTGATACGTTGAGCCAAGCTTGTCTACATGTGTCACCATGTAACCCCAGCGTGGAAATCCCAGTAAATCCTCCCAATATCTGCTTTTGTTTAATTGAAAATTTCCCCATCTTCAAGTAGTACATGGGCTCTTACTGTACTACCAGTCTAAACACCACGAGGAATGCCCCTCAGATTTCAATTTCTGCTGCATATGCATATGCATACATATGTGTGTATGTTCAAGATGTACCCTGGAAGAACTTCACTTAGGTATCTGGCCCTCGCATTTGATACTATACTTAGTAGTATCAAACAGTGAATGTCAAGTCACATGGATTCAGGTCCGTCAATGCCAGCCAGTTCATGCCTTCCCTTCTGGGAAGAGTTTTCGTTGCACCTTCTTTCCAAGGCAAGAGGGTGTCACGGGCAACGCCTGACTCTCCCCCTCTTTCTCTTCTCTACTTGCCTGTCTTTCTCCCTCCTCTTCTCTTCTTCTCTTACTTATCTATCCACTTTACTCTTCACGCTCGCTTTCATCCATCGAGATTTTTTTTTTTTTTCTTATCTATACAGCTTTCATTTCCCAATTCTCTCCCAGCCTCGGCGTGCTTTGAAAGCTCTACCCACTCGAGATGGCTTCCAACTCGTCCTTCAAGCTTCTGATCTTCCTCACCATCTTGGTCCTCGCGGCCATCGTTCCCGCCTTGGGTAAGTATAACACAGCTACGGAGATGGCCAACAAACACACTACTCACATTGATAGGTGTCACGGAGGATCTGGGCAATGTCTACGATGATGACCACCTGCTGGGCATTCCTACCTGTACGTTCTCTAGGTAACACCCAAAAGATGACGATATCTCTGATCACAGTGCACTCGCTAGTTGATGAACCTCGCGCCTTGGTCCCCCGCGCTGGTAAGTTTCCCATCTCGTGCACTAGTCCCAGGCCTACCATTAGTTACATGCAATCGCTAATCAAGCATTCTTCAGGATTCGTAACTGTTACTGTTACAGACACCGTGTGTGCTCCTCCACCCGTGGCTACCACTTCTCAAAGCACGGGTACCGCTGGAGCTCCGGGTGCTCCCCCAGCCCCTTCTGTGACCACCCTTTCTGAGACTACTGTGGTGACTGGTTCTGCTCCTACCGCCACTGGCCCAACTGGCACTGCTCCTACTGGCACTGCTTCGACTGGCACTGGTGCTACTGGTACTGTTCCCACTGGTGCTGGTTCCACTATAGCTGGTCCTGTCATCACCGCGACTGGAACGACTCTATCGACTGGAACTCAAAGCGGTCCGGCTACTGGAACCATTTCCACTAAGTCTTCTAGCGGGTCCAGTACTGCTCACCCAACTAGCTCCCAGTCTACAGGGCAAGCTGGTACTACCGCCACTGCCAGTGGTACTCAAACTTCCACCGTTGCCCCGACTTCGAATGAAGCGGTTGCGCAGGGGAGACTGAGCAACGTTTTGCTGGTCCTGGCAACAACTTTCATTGGCTTCCTAATGACCTAAGCGTCCATTGGCATTGTGGTACCGGGTGCCTACTCATGACGTTGGTAATTTCATAGGGGTCTGGTGTTACAGGGTTGACTGTTTTCAGCAGTATCTGGGATGACTGACCATGGATTTTCTTGTCGTCTTGAGAAGGTCGTGTCGGAATCGTTTTTTTGTGGTTACAAGTTTGCTACGGGGTGCATTAGTGACTACACTCCCTGCTCCCATTAATATTAAGACGATCCATGTTTGTTTACGGAGCGGTCAGGCCCCGCCTAATCTAAAAGAGACTCTTGCAATTCTCATATTACTTGTACTGTAATTGGTACTACCATGGGTATCTCCTAAGAAACAAAAACTATACCGTCTGTAGTCGCGCCAGGGAGCTATGTAGCGGAACCAGCCGTCCTTCACCGACATCGATATTAACATGCACTAAGCATTTCCGCGAATGACACTTGTGGAAGTGCTCTCAGTAAAGCTTGTACTGAGAAACTGTTGATGCGTTTACGTATCGGTTTCTCCGATCGCTTCAATCTCCTTCGTAAGAGCACAAATTCGGCAACCATCGCCAATCCGGTCCCGGAGAAGCCGAGCAGTGGTGACCTTGGGACCAACCGTCCGGGATGTGGACATCGAGGGCTCGTCCAGCGTTGGGGTACGCGGTTGCCGGGACGACTTTGGAGTTTGAGTAGCCGACCGACTTTCCGGCGTGGTTTCACCGGAGGGTTCAGTTGCATGAATGTGGGAAAGATGGAAGATATGTCCGCAAGCGAACCCAACGAGAATCTCCTTCTCTGCCAGTTGAATAACCGTTAGTTTCAAGATCCAGGAAAGCAAGCGACCGAAGAAAGGAATAAAAACAACGACCACAAGTTAAAAAAACAAAAGATCACACTTACCATTGGCATGGAAAGGAAGTTGACAACCTGCACATCTCCCGACTTGCGTTGGAGTATGTGGTGGTACCGAAGTCTTTTCAGTGCCGGCGTCACTCTTCGCTTCGTCTTTCTCGGTCACCCCAGAAAGGGTAGCTGCTGCTGATGACGTTGGACGCTTTTCTTCTTCAATGACATTGAACTTGATGCCTCGTCGCTGGCCTCGGCGTAATGTGTCCATGCCTACTGCAACCTCGCTTTGGAGCACCTTGGCGGCGCCTTGACTGATACTTGCCTGGAGATCGTGTTCTCGGATCAAGTGCGACAGGCCTTCGCGCAGGCCTTCGATTTCTAGTCCGCTGGGGATACGTCGGACGAGTTTGATCGGGTCGATGGCCGTGCCGGCTTCCACTAGGAGACCGTGGATGAAACGCGGTTTGTCCATTGAGTAGTCGAGGAGGTCCTCCCAGAGGTCTGGTTCGCCTTGGGACTTGGCGAATGAGATGGCTTGTGATACATCCTTTAGTTCGGAGAGGATGAGGTTCAGGGCTCGCTTTGTTTGGCCCATCTTTGATAGGAGGTAGATGAGCTCGGGCGTAAAGCGGCGGCCTTCGCATATAGTGACTGCCAAGTCGAAGGTGTATGCGGTGCTAGTTTGTAGGAATTCCATCAACAATGTACGGTCGTAGTTAGCAAAAAGCTCCACTGCTGTATCAGCGAAAGTGTCAACCAGTGCTTTTCCTTCGTCGGCTGCCAATTTGCTCGCTGCGTCCCGGATGTGGGCGAAATGGCCCCTTCGGGGTTTAGAAGCGCCATGGGGTAGAGACTCTCCTCGCCAAAGAGCCCGCAGATAGAAATAAAGGAATAGGAGCCGGTTTGCTGCTTTCAGCTGGTTGACGACGGTCTCTGGACGGACGATTCCTGTATATGCTTCGCTCACGAGGAGCTTGATGGGCTCTACTGTGAGCTCCTCCAGCTCGGATTTGGGCGCTGACTTGAGCTGCTCCTTGGACACACGGATCATGATGAATGCCGGGATATCGTCGGAGACTGCATCCAGTAAACGATGCTCTCTTGTCAACGCCATCGCCGTGTCCGCATCTTGCAGCCGGACATAGCAACGTAACGCTTCACCATAGTGACCACCGGCTAGATACAGCTTGGCGAGAGAATTCATCAAGATGCGCCACTCATCTGAATCGGGTGCAATTGAGCCTGATTCAAGTTGCTCTTTAATAATCGATATAATTCCTGCGACATCGAACAGGTCGAACGGCCAGGAGTCTATGAGCTCACTAAACCGATGTCTGTCCTGAATGACATAATGCCCAAGGATGGTTTCATAGATTGCTGAAGATAGGGGCGGGTGCATATCGGTTGGAATGACAGGTGATATCTCATCCAGCTTCTCGCGCTTTATGAAAGTCCAAGCCCAATGTTCCCAACGTGGCGCGGTATGAAGTGCTTTTATACAAACCTCGGCCGCCTCCTTCCAGTTATCCGCCTCAATTAACTGCTGTATCCATAGCTCACCAATACGGCGCTTTTCTTGCTCAGCAGCGGAGATGACTCCTCGACCGGTGGTTGTCGTAGAAGACCTGTCATCTGCCAAGAATTCGCCCAGGGTAGTTGGAGCTCTTGCCAAAGGAGCAAACATGGTATCGCTCTGTTCACTTGCAGATCCTGCTGCCTCGGGATGCTCATCGATGAGCTTCCATGCTTCCTCGTATTTCTCGTGTGCGTCCAGCCATGCCAGGCGATCTGCAAGATCTCTCTTCAATGCAACGACACAATCATACGGACTATGTATGAAGATCTTGGCCCCCACATTCCCTGAGATATCTTGTATCTCTTTCGATAAGGGCTCCTCTACAGATATCCGTCGGGAGGTATAGGTGCTGGGAGCTTTACTAGACCCTTTGTCGCCGCTGCTAGTTGAACTGCGAATACTGGCACCCGAGCTGAACAAGCGTGCAGGGTACATAGTTGCATCCCAAAGGCCACTCCCGAGAGCTTCCAATGCACCTCTTTGTGAAACGGATACAGTTGTCTTCCAGGGAGGTAGAACACACATATGATAGTCGGAAGACGTGAGATTCTCGTATCGGCTGACTGAAAGTGTATCCGCACTGAGCTCTTCTTTGGTTTCAATATCGATTATCCGAAGCTCAGGCTCCAATCCCCTGGGGCGATGGCGTCCGTTGGGATGAAGGACTCCGTGTTTGGACCGTTCGTCCCCTGAAGCATCCCCTGAAGCCTCGATGTAGGCGAGGACCACCAAAAGGCTGGGAGTATACAATGAGATTCCAGATATAATACAGTCGGTCCGCAATCTGAAGATCGGTTAGAGATCGGACAACTCCAGTACTTTAAAGACTTACATTGTAGAGACCTCTACAGATCCAATTCTTTGGTCTCTGTTGTTCTTGCTTGGTCGATCAGGATAAACTTCAATTACCCATACCGTACCACCCCAACCCACTACCAACTTCTCTACCCTTTCCTTGGCGGGTGTAACGGTTGAGTGGTCGTGGAGTGATGTCTCCTCGCTATCAAGAGCAGTGTCGTCAACCCATTCAGCGCGAGCCTTCCAAACACTAGACATTTCTTCCCATCCAGGACGGTTGGGGCGATCGATGTGGCTGATGCGTTTCCAGGCATATTCTGAGTCAGACGAATCCAAGTGAAGGTTTGATCGCATGATTTTGATTCCTTCTTCATTGACCCAGACAACAAATTTACCAGACAATGACCATTTTATCGTGCTAATGGCTCCTTCACCACTATGTAATATGGTATCCTTGCCTGTGTTGCTCCCGAGGCCAATAGAGCCAAGCCAGCTCGTAGCTGCAGCTGCAGCACCCCCCATCGTTGTCGAATTCGTACTTGCACCCACTCGGCCACCTGTAGTGAGGATCAGGTCACCTGCCCGGCCACCGGATAAGAATGTCCTGTCACTCTTGTATTCTGGTGATAGTGCGACAGCTTGTACAGGCCGACCAAAGTTGCGTAAGAGGACGTCTTTGGGATCCACAAGAGACGCAACGCACACATTACCATCTATCGAAGACGTCGCTATATATATCGAGTTCGAGGGCGTAGAGGAGAGCGCTGGGGGGTTGTTCGGCCTTGGTCTGCCCCTAAGGCTGGAAGCGCCGGAAGATGGTCTGGAGTAGTGCTCCTGCGCTTCATGAAGCCTAATGCTGTCGGGCTTGGTGTTCGGTAACGGTGGAGGGAATGGCGAGACCGATATTGAAGTGACGCTAGCAGAGTGTGCATGGTAAACGCGGAGAGATTGGAACAGAGGTAGTGACAACGCATGCTGTGGAATGTTAGTTGCGGAGCGTACGAGTTGGCAGTCGGGCAACATACGATATTACCATTATGCGTTCCAATTATCTAAACAAATTCTCAGCTTCAGCTAGCATTCTCATATTCACAGATATCATACCATCTTGTCTCCAGCAGCGAGGAAGGAGCTCGTTGCATCCCCGTTGCGGTACACCGCTCCCAAATGCTTCGTCAAGTAGGCATATTTCAGGTGTGGCTCCTCTTCGTCCTCGTCCTCTTCCTCTTCGCTATCGTCCTCAGGCTCATTGTCACTTTGGTCCTCATCCTCGTGGTCCTCGTGCTCGTGCTCGTTTCCTGCCAATTGATCCGGGTGATCGGAGTGGGTACTGGACTCGTGAGTGTTTTGCCCGGCGGATATCTCCAAGTCGGAACCATCCTGGCGGACACCATCCGTCGCCTTAGTCGCGCCAGGCGCGTCCATGGCGAGAGCCTTTACCGTACTTGATAGAGCTATGCTGAAGTGTCACCGATGCAAGAAAGCATGCCCGGATGTTGGGGTATGTCGGAGGACCGGTTACTAAGCAGGACCTCTAAGTAGCTAACTAATTTCAGGTTAGCTCCAGTTACATCACCAAATTGAACCCGCTCTTTTACTTCCGCAAAACGGCCGCGATCCTTTCCAGATCTTCAACAGCCGAACCGTATTTGCCATGGCACTAGAGCTCAGTTAATTATTGCCTTAATTATTCTAATCTCTTCTTTGTCAACGTTTCCATTTCTTTCAATTGCGTAAATGTTTGCAAAACCTTTCGTTGGCTCCATTTGCAAAAGACCCGCAGTGACCAGGCTTGTGAAACAGCCCCGGAGCCAATATCTTCATGCCACATCACCGTTCAGCCTTCCTCGACGCAAGGACTTCTTCTCGTCTAATGCGTACCTTGCTCAGAAACAATCAAAAACCGGAGATGTGAGCGAGGAGCCGGGGCAAGAATTCCAGAAGCAACGGAGAAGAGGAGGTAGATCGCCGGCAGCGCCAACCTCGTTACGGAGAGTCGCGGTTGAGGCACAAAGATCAAAAGATGGGTTTCTCTCCAAGGCCATGCTCAAAGAGCAAGGGCTCTATCAAACCAAGGTTTTAGCTCTCGCGTCTCGACGGTAATCTCAATTGCTGATTTTTGATTCTTGAGCGACAGGTAGTGACGGCGTATGCGGTGGCCGAACAATTCAACATCCGGAAAGTGCGGGAAATTCTCCAAGAAAAAGGCTATGAGCCAGATCCCTTCGATACTGGTCTATACCCCCAGGTGGTACATGTTCAGGTCCCTCTAGATTCCATTCGCCGCGTGAGCAACCCGGCCACCACAGACTTGGCTCCCAACGAAGTTGGCGATATCTTCGTTTTCCCGTCCGGTACCGTTGTGGCGTGGTCTCTGCCAGAAGGCTTTACATCTTTCCTCGCAACTAGAACGTTACTCCCTGCAGCCGAAAGACCTCATCTTGATAATTTAGAGACGGAAGATCTCGAGTATGTGGAAGACCCGCAACGAGATAGCAGCAGCATAAAGGGCGATACCATCATCCTAGGCACCAAACCAAGCAGCAATGGAGCAAGCCCGCAGCTTGATCGACAACCTGTGGACACGGTCCTAACTAAAGTGGCATTTTCCTCCGGGCTGGCTCGGAGCACAAAGTTGGCAGTGTTGGAAACGCTCCTGTCGAATTATTTCGAATCAACTAGATCGATACCTACACTACTGTCACAAGGATCTCGCCTTCCATTTACAAGAGATTTTATCCTTCGAAAGACGGGGCAGTTATTGAGCGTACGCGCCCAGTTGAATCTCTATTCAGAGCTCACGGACTCCTTGCCGGACCTCTTCTGGGATAGCCGGCATGAACTTGGTTTGGAAGGATACTACGAACAGGTGGGAAGAGCGTTGGATGTCGGAATTCGGATCAAGCTCCTGAACGAAAAGATGGATTATGCGCAGGAAATAGCAAGCGTCCTCCGGGAGAGGCTGAGTGAGACACACGGACTTCGGCTTGAATGGATCATTATCCTCCTCATCGCAGTGGAAGTCTGCTTTGAGGTTTTGAGAATGTGGAAAGAGCGAGTCCATGAGCAAGAAGTGCAAAAGGAAAAGGCTATAGATGCGGTGAGGTCTTAATAGCCTGTAAATGTGTGTGTATGTATATATAGAAACGACCTAGCCTTACATGATACCCCTCTCATTCTTTCCGACGAACTGCAAACTTGAGTTTATATATAGACAATAACCTAGTTATATGGCTAGGATCAGCTTTGGTCCGTACTGGTATGTTGAGACTGAAGTCCTTACATCTCGATACCGGCGCCCAAATACGGCGGGATCAAGATGCAAGGGACATTTGCTATGTTTGATGGATGGTACCAAGTATAAGAAAATGGGAAAGAAAAAAGAAGCCATCGAAAGAAGCGCCGGGGACCAAAATAGCAGTCAGGTCATGAGAGTTGGTTATCTTCGATAGCTTCTCCGCAGCTTAGCTCAGTTAAGGTTATCTAGCTTCATTAGTCTATCAGCTGACGGGTCACATGTGGCGATCCAACTTAGTCATCGGTCATAGGATCACGGGGTACGACGTCTATCTCGAGCTATCTAATTGATGTCTGATCATCTACTTCTCCTATAAATCCAATCGAGTAAATTGCGACAGACACTTGGCTTAGTTCTATCCCCAAGTCCCTTAGAGGAAGGAAGCCGGAGCGCGGAATACACCACCTTCCGTACTAGCCTTAGTATATTGCCAGGATGCTCCAAGGGATCCCAGGACCACAGCAGGTGCTAACCGCCTTGACGGGATCCTTGGGACTTTCAAGTCTCCTTGGACCCGAGATTGAATCTTCACAGAGCAGCTTTCAACACTGCTCTAAGCCTGAGCTGAGCTGCCAAACTCCGTATCATGGCCAAAACAAATGCTGCTTCAATTATCCCGGGGGACAGTTCCTTCAATCGCAGTTTTGGGACGCCGACCCTGCCATTGGACCGGAGGATTCCTGGACCATCCATGGCTTATGGTGAGTTTCTTACAAGGAGAACTAATACTTGTAATTGGGACACTGATTCCCAGCTTTATTTAGGCCTGATTACTGTAATGGAGGTTACCCTCAATTCTGCGATTCAAAAAGGCGGTATAGCAACATCTCCCTGATCTTGACTGACTCAGGTAGAGGGGATCTTCTGGATGAGATGCGTACCCTCTGGAAAGACTGGAAGGGCGATGACCCGACTTTGTGGGAACATGAATGGAACAAGCACGGCACCTGTATCAGTACCCTAGAGCCTCACTGTTACGACATATACTACCCGCAACAGGATGTGGTAGACTACTTTGACAAGACAGTGGAGCTCTTCCGCGGATTGCCTACACACGAAGTTCGTGCTCCTGCATTACTTTTTGATTCTGTTCGCACCAACGCGCCTAGATCACTAATCTTTTACTAGATCCTTGCTGGTGCTGGGATTGTCCCTTCATACACGGAGACCTACTCCCTGAGCGAGATTCATGACGCTCTAGTGAAGGCTCACGGGGCCGAAGTTGTCGTTAGATGTCGTCACCAGAACCTGAACGAGGCTTGGTATTTCTTCAATGTCGCTGGACCTTTGCAAACAGGCAAATTCGTCCCAGCCAACCCAGGTTTGCTCCCCAGGTTTCTTTTGATCTAATCAGAAAGGTATACGGTGTCTAACCACCTGTGCTAGATGGCCAAACATCAAATTGCCCTTCCAAGGGCATCCGGTATCAGCCAAAAACACCTCGAAAAGATGAACCAACCAAAACACGAAGACCATCAGAGCCAACAAATACCGGTACACCGAACTCAAAACGAGGGAACCTGGTCGTCTCAACACAAGGCCAACAAAGGGGCTGTATTATCAGCCGCGGAGCCTGGTTCACATCAGGGACTTGCGCAACATTCCGAATTGAAAAGACTTCTGGTTCGTCCTTAGATCTTTGCTGTGCTTGTAAACCGCAGTTTTCCCGAAAATATGCTAACAGTATATACCTCATAGATGAGACATTCACATTGCAGTCCAGTAAGGGCAAGTGCTCTTTTCAAAAAGATACATTCAGCTGTGGTCCTCAGATCAAGAACCCAGTTGAATTCAGTGTAAGTTTTGGATCCGCTATATGCATTCCTCAACCCAATTCTTACATTTCTTCTAGATTCAGGATGGCAAGCTCTCTTACCGGGGAAATACAACATTCTTTGCGGACAAGGCACCTAAAGGCCCTACAAAGAGCAAAATCTATGCGACGCAAGAGGAACATCCGATTGAGCTGACCATAACGTGGAGAGGAAGTCATTAATTTCTCGTATCTTCGTGTTTGTGGTCTGTATTGCCTGATGTGACCATGTATTATTTGTGTTGTACTGCTTAGGCATGGTTTATAGAATCCTATAGATTGAATACTGAAACATAGAATGTTCCCAGGCTTGTAATAACCGAATTACTTTTTATATCTGGATCTCTTTTTTTTGTTTTATTCAGTGGATCTATTGCAGGCCTAAAGTACAGGTGGGCATGGCCACCAAGAACGACGACGTATCCAACAGCAAACAGTTCATACCCATTTAGTACAGTCTTCGAGTCTTAAAAAGCAAATCACATGAACGTCATATAAACTCGTGAATAAAAAGAACGAAGGAATATAGGGCGTGAAGCATAACAAAGGAAAGGATGACCTGCAGAACTCCGTATAAATTGTCCAAAGTTGTTCCCGCAAGTCCCAGAAGTTGTCGTACATGTGTCGCTGAGCAAGTCACATAAAAGCAAAATGAAAATGTAACCACATTGAGAGAAAAAGAAAGAAAGATCGAAATGCCCGAAAAGTTCTGTCACAAAGGTCGTTGATAGTGGAAGTTGATCATTGGAAAGTTTTGATGAGTCGTAAATTGTACATAGTTTCGTCGTGTCATTTTTGAGAGTTGGTTTGTCATATGCAAGGTTTCCGGTCGTCTATATCTCAGTCATGAAAGTTGCTCACATTCACCATTAGTCAAGTGTCGTTGCGTCGTCAGTCTCCATCCATGTTCTTTCGTGTCTATAAGTTGTCGTCTGCGAGTCCTTCATTCCAAGAAGAATTCCCTTGTCATAACGTCCGATGGTTGCTCGTCCATTTGGAATTGGAAAGAAAAGAAATCGTCACCCATTGAGGGACCGGTAGAGAAACCTTTGCCTTGAAACAAATCCATGCCGTTGTCAAAAGCGGGACCGTTCACATAATCAGGAAATGCCGCCATGTCAGGGTCAGTCAAGCCAGGGAACTCGTGCTTGCTGAAGCTTGTAGATGGATCTTGGTTGATGAAGATGTCTAGGTCTGAGCCATTTGAGGAGTCGGTCAGAGTGGGTGCAGTGTGTGGAGAAGACAGGACATGAACCGTCGAGCTTGTAGCATTTGTGTAGGGGCAGGCTTCAGGGTCCGAAATTAGAGGTAGACTTGACTCCTCGATGATCCTTTCTAGGGGTCGTTTGGATGGAGACAAAGGTGGCATTTCATCCTCCGTGCTGGGTGTGATCGATCGCTGACTGTGGGCAGGTGATGGCCTGTTTCGTATGCTACCTCCAGGGGAGGCAGGAGGGGTGAAAGTCAGGACCTCCGGGGGTAATGAATAATTAACATTGCCAAACATTTGCATCTCTCCCACCGGACTAGAACCCTGAAGGCTCATGTTTTCGAATACATCTGAGGGCGGCGAATTGCGCGAGGTGTCTGATCCAGAAGAGTCAAACGAGGACTTTTCGGCGATTCTCTGGCGCGTCCTGGAGGACTTCTCTTGTCTCTCATCCATTTCAGGCCGGTGCTTTCTCGGGCGACCGCGTTTGGTGGTCTTGCGCACAATGCCCTTGTAGCCGCCAATACACATGCCCCGTTGCCGATGCCGAGTCAAAGCATCATGTCGGGCGAACACATTACCGCAGAGGCATTCATATGGTTTATCACCGGTGTGTATCTTGGCGTGGCGCTTAAGATCGTGTCCGCGGACGAAGCATTTATCGCAGTGACCACACTTGTATTGACGATCTCCAAGGTGTGTTTGGACATGGGACTTGATGTTCTCTTTCCTTCCAAACCGACGTTCGCAACCGGGGTGTAGGCATACCCATTTTCCATCTTCTGGGTCAGGACCATGGATGTATGACGCTATCTCGTCAATGGTGACACCGGTTTCTTTGATAGAGGCATTGACCCTGGCGTCAAGATTGAGGCTGTCGATAGATGCTACCCTCGGAGAAAGTTTGGGTTTGGCCGAGCTAGGGGGAGCACTTGGTGTCTTCTTTGAAGCCATACGGCTAGGCGTTGCAGGGTAAATAGGCATCTTCTGCGCCTTCCCACTGTCCGCAAGGTGCGGCATGGAGGCAAGGTCTGATGAGGAGTTGAAAGGGGATGTAGCTGACGACGACGTTGAAGAGTGGTTAGATGAAAAACTTTCAGACTTTGAAATTTCGAAACTGGAACCCTGCTGGCAGTCAAACATATCGAAACTATCCACTTCAAAGGAGGCTGTATTGGGGGGGGAGGGCATATCAATCTTTTGCTGGGAGAAGGTCGTCCCAGCCACTCCTTGGAGAGACTTAGCACGTTGCATGTACGACGGCTGGGTTGAAACGGGAACAGACAATCTCTGCTCCTTGGTAGGGGTTGGCTGCATGTTGCCACCATACTGCGCAAGATCCACTGTTTTCTTGAATGGTGTTGTCGCAGGGGTAATTGGAAGGTAGTCTTCAAGTTTCATCAGTGGGGTTTGCCTCCTGTAAGTAATATCAGGGTACTTACGCGTAGGTTTCGGCGTATGTGGTCTTTGCGCGGGACTGACATCAGACTGCACTGATAATCGTCTCATATCTGCAGGGATTGCATTGGTCTGGTGCGGAAGTCCCGTTGTGAGGTTATCGTGTGGGTAGAAATCCCAAGCGCCATTCTCCATGAGCTGGGCTTGCTGCAACTGCTGTTGCTGGATTAGATTGAGATGGAGGTTCATCGGCCGATTTTCCAGCCCCGGGGCCTCGGCCTTGGCGAAGGCTGGGTTCATGTATCCCATACTTGGTTGGGTTTGCAATTCTTCAGGACTGAAAGTCTGGCACTCAGGCATCATGGGCATGGGTGTCGGTTGCGCCGAACGAGCATAGTGTTGCTGTTGCATTACCAGGGGACCTGCTGCGTTAGTATTTAAAAGGTTACCATCTTGCACGGTCTGCGATCGTTGCATGTGTAGAGATCTCTGGTCTAGACTCTGGCCGCGACGGTGAGCATGGTATCGATGCATTGCCTGTGCAGGAAGACTGGGGACTTTTGCGGCATCAAGAGCGGAAGGTGTTGAGATCTGCCGCCGATGTTGTCGATGTCGTTCCTGTAGATTGCGATGTGGGTTCGATAACATGGTGGGCAAAGTCTGTGAGCCACTCGTCACAAATCGGTGGCGGGCAATTGACAGATCTAATTCTATATGTAAGTCTTCCGGAAAGCTGTGCGCATATTGCATAAAACGTGGTCTGCATACCTCACGCAGCGCTAGTCGTACGATAGATGGTATCAAAACCGACCTGTCCACTGTGTCAGTCGGTGAACTCTTCAACAAAGAAGACGGATAAGGGAAAAAAGGGTTAGAAGGAGAGGAAGCTCAGAGGAAAGAGAACTATGAGGCTCTTCCAACTAGATCTGAAACTAAAGCGACAGCGAGATTGAAGCTTCACTAAGGCTTCCCTGCGCGATTCATGGACCTCTGGTTCTGAGAGGAAGAGGACCAAGGGCAAGAGGAAGTATTTAGAGGTGGGAACCAGGGAAAGGTGGATGGAGAAGCTGAAGCTATCCCGATCTATCGTCCACGGTTCAGATCAACAATGGCGCAGTTGGCCCAGCAACGCACCCGGGCTGAGGCGTCGGGGAAACCAGCGCCCTTGGCATGGAGCCGTCCATTTGCGCTGCGTAGTGGATCGCCGGCGCTGCGCCTTGGTTCGAGCACGGAGAATATCGAACGAAAAAGTGGCCCAAACGCAATTAAGGCTGCGATCCGGCAGGTTAGTTACTCCTGCAAGGAGCTCGTTTCTGGTTCCCCCTCGCGGTCCAGAGTCCAGACAAACACCCTATATTAATTTTCGACGTCGCCTCCTCTGCTTGAAGAAAATGCACCCTGTCGCCTGTGAGGGTTCAAGACACTATCGCTTCATGATACTCCCTTCCTTTGCAATAGCCTGGATAATAATTGACGCCAATCATGAAACCATTTGATCAATAATTAGCAACTGGCGAAGGGATGGATAATGACGATGACGATTGACTTCGATGGTCTTCCAATCTCGATTGAGCGGGTGGTTCCCAGAACGGGTCGATCATTTTCGTCGCCTGCGCTTCCAGGCATCAAGTGTGACGTAAGCTGGCCTGTCGCCGCGAACAGAACGCAGGCTGAACTTAGTACATCATTTTACAGATACAAGTCAATCTTTACTTTTACTACTGCTATTACATATGTACAGACTAGTTCTTAACTAGACTACTTTATAGTTAAGAACTAGTTTAAAAATATATAATTTATCACTCCATATAACGATGAAACGGTTCGGCGGTGGCCGAAAAGGGCTATATCCAAACCTTCATGTCCATTGTTTCCTGAGCCATATGAGCATATGCTTCTGACTCCTACAACTTCTCGTCCACAACCGCTCCCTCCCTCCCCGAATATTCATGGATAACAGCCTTCCTGGTTCAACCTATATCCGAGAGAGAGAGAGAGAGAGAGAGAGATATCGCCTCCATTGGCATTTAAAACAGCCGCCAAGCAACAATGAAATAGCCTGCGTACATATATCCAAATCAACCAGATATGTCTAAACGGGTAGCCTTCAGAGCCTGGGACTATAAGCAATTCATACACGGATAACCAGCTCCTAATAAAGTGATCCCAAAATTAGGTAATTATAACTTTGATTTGCCAGAACTGGGACACTCCACTGTAGATAGAGATCAGACTCCATGCATGCACTCTGCAGACTGCGGGCTCCAGGATAAAGAAGGTTCTTAGAAGATAGTATAGCACTTCATTAGCAGAAAAAGACAAGGCTGTGGGAGGAGAGAAACCCATGTTCTTGAATACACACTCCTGACTTGGAGGTCATGACATGTTGAACCATATCTTATGTTCCTTGGGGTTCGTCTACTCTGGAGAATTGTAAAATGATACAATCTTTCGCGCCAATACTTTAAAAAAAAAATGACTTATGAATGCACATGTACTGTCCTAGATAAGTTGTAGACAATGTATATGTTTAATTCTCATTCGTACCTATCCCAACCGCTACACTGAAAGAAAAACAGGAATCATGTACTTCGTACATACAGTGGCATATATCTTAGGCCTTGTCTTATCATCTTTGCCTAGACCCAAGCCTTAGTGGCATCGTGAACCGACTGTTCCAGGCTTGTCCAAGCAGGGAGACCCGAAATTCTCTTCAGAAGTTCCTCGGCCCTCTGGTTGGCAACAATGCTCTTATCTTCACCAATGTTAGGGATATCATCGATGAACTTCTGCTGTGGGTACAGCCGGCGTAGAATAGCGAGAATATCATTCCACGAATAGGGGTGAGCAAATGCAAAGAGTCTCTCACTCTTCACATCTGGATAAATAAGGGCAGCGACGTGCACACGTGCGTCATCCTGGACATTGATATAGTACTGTGGCGGGTTGTACTTAAGCCCCTGCCCTTCTTCGCCGGGGAATCCATCCCAGACCGCCTTAATCCAACCATCAGTGCTGGGATAGCCCTGATTCTTTGGCGAGAGAATGGAGCCCATATTGGCATTTGGGAGTACAGTGTTAAGGACAAAGTTTGGCTTCTTGTCCTCCATGAACTTCCACGCGGCTTGTTCAGCTTGTGTTTTACTGGCGGAGTAGACATCCAGGCGTCGCTGCGATCCTTCGTAAGGTGGTGGTGCCCAAGCATCCTTGACAGCTGTTTCGTTCCAAGTTTTCTCGTCCATGGTGAACACTTTGTTTGGCTGTGGGCTAGCGGCTGCCGTGGAGGATGAAGTGATAACAACCCGTCGTACCGAGGGCTCAGCAGCGGCGGAGGCCAATATGTTGACAGTTCCGTTGACAACCATCGGGACGGCGATATTGGGGTCGTAAAACTGCATCACAGGTGTTGCCACATGGGCGATACCGGCCGCGCCTTTGACAACCTCGTCGAATGCACCATCGTGGGACATATCGGGAACCTCAGCGAGGGAGAATCGTCCAGGGCCATACTTTTCACCGAAATAGTCATTCAACCACGCGTTTTTCGCAACATTTCTCACGGTACCCCGGACATTGTACCCGTGTTCAAGTAGCTGATCGACCACATGGCTGGCGATAAAGCCATTAGCTCCCGTCACGACGACGAGGGAGCCCTTTGGAATGGCCAGGGGAGCAGTAGAAGACAGGATCGTAAGCGTTGGGAAGCACTGATGTAGTCTGAGAGACAGAGGGAAGATTGATGTTCTATTCAATATGCGGCAGGATACATTGATATTTATATATACCTTTCTCTCTATACCACTCACCCGGCTTTTGTCATCAGAGTCCAGGGAACATCATTGAGATCATTGAGTACGTAAGAATTAATCATTTTAGTCAGCGAAATGGAAGGTTGGTATACTTTCAGGTTATAACGTTAATCAACCTAGCCGCAAGCAGAGATGGTAATTTAACCAATAACAGTCACTATTTCCTTCAAGAATCGATTTTTCGATGGGAAACTCTATCGAGGAAATGTTACCATGAGCCCTGGAGCCCGGGCCACTGTGGGGCGTGCGGCCGCTTGCCATCCGGGGTGAATCCAACCCGATAAAAGTCTCCGATGAGCTCAAAAGTTTAGTAATTGCTAATCTTCCAAAGACCTACTAAATATCGATAAATAGAGGTAAATACTAAAGCATTCCATGTCATGGAAACCCTACGATTATTCACTCTCATGCTTCCAGATCTTGATAATAAAAAAAAAAAATCCACATTACGTCAGCTTGGTGCTTATTTCCAATAATATATTGAAGTAGGATTTAACATAAAAGTATTGGACAGTCTGTTCACGATCTAGGAACGATCTGGTCCTTGAGCAACTCAAAACCTTGGGCAACACCAACAACCTTGTCTTTGACGCCGAGCTCCTCCAAGGTGACAGTCTCCTCGGGGTAGAACTTGTTCCAATCCGGGTACTGCTCGCTAAACCGCAGCTGGCTGGCTATCTCTGGTCCAAATAGGGGGCCATATACCTTGGCCGCCTCTGAATCGGTCAACTCGGCATACACTGCCGTCTTTCCAGTAGCTTTGCTCCATTCCTCCGCGAGCTGGGTCCAGGAGATAAGGTCGGTGATAATGGGTACGTACTTCCCATACGTTTTCTCTGGCTGGGATAGAATTGCCTGGACCACAATGCCAGTGTTCGTCGCCACAATTCCGCCGCAAGGAGCAATCGCGTCAGCCTTTGAAGCTTGGGCCATAATGTAGTTGCCCAAGAATGGTTGGGGTTGCATTGAGGGCTGATTGGCAAAGTTATCCAAATAGAATCCTGCCCATACAAACGTCGTCTTCGCTGCTAGCTGCGGTAGCGATGTCTTGACATAATCGGTACCCCTGGCCTTGGCATCCCAATGCGGGCATGGCAGCTTCCCCCCTGAGAGTTTGTCGCAGGATGGCAGAACGCTGAGGACCAGGTGTTTGAGGGTCGGGATTTGGGCAGCTGAGTCCGCAATGTTGATGAGGTGCTGAAGCTCTACCTTCTGTGCCGTGTCGATGCCACTCTGGAATACGGGAGTCCAGAAATCAGACACTGCGAAGATGGCAGTAGCGCCGTTGAAGGCTGCCTGTAGGGACCCGACATCATTCAGATCGGCAGCAACCACTTCAACCCCTATAGCCTCAAGTGCTTTGGCCTTGGCGCTAGATGCGTCGCGAGTAAGACCTCGTACTTTCCATGAGAGATCTTTGGCCAGGACCCGAGCAACTGAGCCACCTTGGGTGCCAGTAGCGCCAACAATGACAGCCAGAGACATAGTGTACGAAGTGATGATAGCCTGATGAGAAGTGATGTGACAACTGTGACGAGAGAAGTGTTGGTCGTAGCGAATGTGACTATGTCTTGGGACCCTCCTCTTGATATTTATCTTTCCCAGTGGGATCCAGAAGTCAAATAAAGTCACTGGGATAGTATGTACATGCCCGCCCCACAGTCGGCCATACTGTTAGTCAGCGGAACTCCCAAATCATCGGCCATCCGAAGTCCGACTATAGCCATCATGAATCAATGTAGCTATGTTCCTCTCATGCGCGAGATTTTGGGTACACGATGCGTCTTTCGAATCACCGTGGGGGTTCTTGTGGGCTTTCCTCGGGGCGGTCCAGACTGCTGACTAAAGCTGACTAGTCCCCCAAACAACTTTAACCACGAACATACACTGTATTCCAACTAAGAAAGTTTGCCTGTTACTCCAGCTTCGAGTCTCCTCACCTTATTCTTTCCTAGAGTAGTCAATTAGGGATAGTGTTTCCTCCCTCTTAATTATAATAGGCTTTTGGAATATACAACCTACATATTTTTTATACTATACTATCTTTTATAAAAATTAGAGCCCTAGGAAGGACCTGGAAGGTACCTTAGCATCTAGATAGATACTGATAAATAGAATTATAGATATAAAATTATCAACAGACTACAAGATATCTAGCCAGCAAATACACTAGATTTAATTAATAAAGGAAGGTTGATTTGGAGACACAATCACATACCAGAGACCCTAGATAGTAACCTATACCGGAGTCAGTACCAAACGGGGTGGGTATTTCACAGATCAGTCGCTGTGGCTGATCAGACCTTCCCTTAGCTTAGCTTAGAATATTCTTAATAATTCAGAGCCATATTAATAATTGACTCGGCTTCTTGACAGCGCGAGGACCGACAGCCATCCCCTCCGTGGGTAGCCGATGGCCGGTGACGATTATTGGAAAGCTCGGAAAATCGATGCGTCGTGTATTGGTCTTACCAGGTGGCCTGTCTTTAGAGATTGGTTCTTTTGTTATATCCTATAAAGACTGGATTAGGGAGCTTTTGATTGAATAACCACCACGGCAGGCCATTTTTATCACTATCAGCTTCTACCCGAGCCCTAATTCCTTTGATAACTGTTACACGTGTCGCAAGAAAGGTATGGTGCCTAGAGCTTTTGTACTATGAACTATCACCTCCAGATTATGATTCCATTGGCGAGATATGGAGGAATATCATATGCATTGAACTGGAATGCTCTTCTTCGGGCTAAAACAGGCAGAAGACGCATGGAAATAAAGCGAGTACTTGATTTCAGCATTTGTAGACCAAATGTAGCGTCAAAAGGATACCCACAATTGAATACTCCACAAGTCAATGGCATTTTGAGAAACGGCATAGTATCTCGCCGAGGGCAAAGGACAGGAATCCTGCCCAACAAAAAGGAAGAAAAAGGGTAAAAGGAAAAACTCCAGAGAATTGACCAACGCAAGGTGTTTACATCATCATTATTCCCCATCCTCCTGAGGGTTCAAAACCAGCTTCTTCGGGCTCCGTCCATTGATTATATCTTCACAGGCATTCTGGATGCCAGACAAACCACCAGCCCGCTTTTCCAGAGGAGTCGGAGTCACTCCCCCGGCGAGGGCGACGGGAAGATATTCCTCATACCACCATTTGGAGAAAGCCGCATTTTCGGGTTTCTGAGTGGCCATGCTGTAGTAATCATAAAGAAGTTCGACGTTGTCCGCCAGATGCATCTCCTCGCTCTGCGGGCGCGTCGACGCAAATACTCCACCCTCTGGTTGAAGGATATCACTGATGGCATGTGCACCAGCCGCGTCGCCAGACGCCGTCATAACAAACTTGTAAGGTCCAAGGGCTTTTAATTTCGAGACAGCCTGTTCATCTCTATAATCGACCACTTCGGATGCGCCAAGGCTACGTACGTAGTCGAACTTTCCCGGTGAGGCCGTTGCTACAACATCATACCCAACCTGGGGAAGACTGTTATTTCTTATCAAGGAACAAAGTCCATCCGTCGGATTCTACTCACGCTAGAGGCATATTGAACGGCATACGCCCCAACGGAGCCGCTCGCGCTCCAGATCAGAACCCTCCCCTCTTGATGGCTGCCAGGCCTTTCCATACCCAGTTTTAGGCTCAGAGCTGCCACAGCCGTCAGGAGAGCAAATGGAATTGCGGCAGCATCCTCAAATGTCGTTGCAGCTGGGATCTTGGATGTTGTTGCCTCCGTACTCACAACATACTTCTGCCAGCCGCCATATTTGGCTATCTTCTGGTGATATGCGGGAGTGTCGGAGACGACACGGTCGCCCTTTTTAAATTTAGTAACGGAGGACCCAACCTCCTCAACCACACCTGCTACGCCATTACCCAAGATGAAAGGGTAAGGGAGGTCGAGATAGGCACGGCCACGGATATTGGCGTCCAAAGGTTGTATCGCGACAGCATAGTTCTATCACAAGTTCAACAATCGTTAGACCAGTGCACCCAAAACGGACTCCACACAGCATAGCACCACCCGCATCGCCCGCGTGAGACGTATATCGGACAGACCTTGATCACAAGTTCATTCCCCGAGGGGGGTGAATAAGGTGCGGCGGAAAGTTTCAAGTCTCCCTTTGGCTCCAAGCTCCAAGCGGCTCTATTGACAGACTCCATGATACTCATATATGGAACGGATACAGCGATGTATCTGAAATTTGAGGTTAAAACTTGCTGGGCATAAAGGAGTTATGGCAGGATGGTGATAAAGCTGGTACTATTTGATACAAACGCCATTTATAGTACCAGCCATGAATGACATCAAGAACTTGTCAACAACGTCATGAGAGAAGAGATGAAAGAAGTCACCAATCATATAATTCAAGTGGGGATATAAGCAATCCGTCATGCTTTACCAAGCATTAGTAAGTTGGGTTCATCCAGTGAATTAAAGTACATGATATAGCACTGCTGAAATCACCAAACTCATAGTGGGCCCAGCAACCTTCCTTGGTTACAACACCTGTCTAGGCCATAGTAAGCTTTCTTTGCCTTCCAATAAGAGGATGATTCCACCCCCACCTCCATCTGTATCAACTCCACAATTAATAGAGTGAGTATCAATCTGCCTACTAGAACTAAATAGGCAAAAGATATCATTTCTAAGAAAAGAGGGGTAGGTTCAAGCTTAGAGAGAAATCCATACATTAGACTTGCGCAGATACCAAAAGAGGGGCAAACAGAAAAGAGTTTGTAAGATCAATGCTAAGGACTTGTAATGCACAGTAGACTATTGCGGCCACTCCGTAGTCCATTTACCGCTTCCTCAACCGCTTCCCTTAGTAGATCACTACGGAGTATACTAGGTAGAATCGCTTATTTACTTCTTTTGATTCTCGTACATAACGTTTCAGAGTAATTAGAATCTGTTTTATTTAACCGGTGCGATGAGCTGTTTAAAATACGTAGTTCGTATATGCTTCGGAAAATCGGCGCCGGTGATCCGAGATCTGGAGAGGATGGTGGGCTGACCTTTAGTCACCCCACGGCGAATCCCGTGACTTGATCCCATCACATGACCCCTCGAAAGACAAGGACCCGGAGAGCCTGATTATCCGAGATTTCCCACGCTAGGGCCGATACGGCAAAAGTGCACCGCACGTGATCACACAACCGATTTTAACGCACTAAGACGCTGCCGTCTACATAATTTCGACACGATCGCAAGGTTGAGGAAGACAAGTCTTGTCGAGGTGAGTGACGACCCTGTACCCTGCGAGGATGAATATGGGATGCGCAGTCGCTTGAGTCACTTTGGTCTCTCTTTCTCTTCCCGCGGCACTTCTTCTGGCTCAGCTGCGCAAAGGAAGAGAAAATGAGGCAAAAATGACACTTGCGCCGATGCATCCAGCGTTCATCCAGCGCAACGTTTTATCTATCTCAAGGATGCAGGGTTAGACTAACATTCGCATGATACCAGGCCTTCATCAAGATGCAGATCTTCGTCAAGACCCTTACGGGTAAGACTATCACCCTTGAGGTGGAGTCCTCGGACACCATTGACAATGTCAAGTCCAAGATCCAGGGTAAGGATTTTCTTCTCTTTCTCTCTCTCGCTACTTGAATACAAAGTGGCCGACACTAACTGTTCAACGTACAGACAAGGAGGGAATCCCCCCTGACCAGCAGCGTCTGATCTTCGCTGGCAAGCAGCTCGAGGACGGCCGTACTCTTTCTGACTACAACATCCAGAAGGAGTCCACCCTTCACCTCGTGCTCCGCCTGCGTGGTGGTGGTAAGAAGCGTAAGAAGAAGGTCTACACCACCCCCAAGAAGATCAAGCACAAGCGCAAGAAGACCAAGCTTGCCGTCCTCAAGTACTACAAGGTCGACGGTGATGGCAAGATCGAGCGTCTCCGCCGCGAGTGCCCCGCCCCCGAGGTACGTTTTTCTTTTGGATACCCATCTGTTGGCTTCTGTGTTGCAAAGTGACTAATAACTCTATAGTGTGGTGCCGGTGTCTTCATGGCTGCTATGCACAACCGCCAGTACTGTGGCAAGTGCCACCTCACCTACGTCTTCGACGAGTCCAAGTAAGCGATCCAATCGTGGATTGCTCCGCCTCTCTTGTTACCGGGGATGCAATAGGGTTTTGATCTAGGGCAATTTCGGTGGATTTAGATTGGTGGATCTTAGGTTGAGGAGCCTTGAAAATGAAATAAAAATTCGAAACACTCTCGTGCCTTGGCTTGGATCTAAATCTAATGACTCGTAAAGTATATACATGCGCATTCAAAACCACGGCAAGAACATGCAAACTCGACAAGGAACAACACAATGTTGAATGTAGGGGGTATCTCAAACGTAGGCTCTTAAGCGAAACCGGCTCGCAGGTTGTCGTACTTGCTTTCTGGGTATTCAAGTGCGTTCGGAGTCTGATCCAAGGCGGCCGGTCCTCCAACACCCTCGACGAAGGTTCCAATCAGGCTACCATCGGCTTTGTTGGCAGTCTTGCCTCCTTTGTCAGCGCTAGTCTCCCACCACATACCACCCGCTAGTCCATGATGTCTGATGAAAGCCGCTTTGGTCTCACTCATGCGCACGTTGTCGTACGAGATCATCGTGCGGGTTGCCGGGTCATAGCTCCACGATGCACCGATGCTGGGATCAACATATTCCGTTGCACCTGGTCTAGGAAGTGCCTTGTAGTCCCAAACCCCGTTCTCCCAGCTTCCTTCACCTACGCCGGAGAAACTCGTACCAGGACCGTCGGTATTGGTGAACGCACGTCCATATATGGGCATACCAACAACTATCTTCGAGCGCGGCACAAGGCCCGCCGTCTCATAATATGTAAGTGCGTCGACCGTTGAGAACGGGGTCGAGCCTGGCCTGTCAGGAGAAGGGTAGATATTGGCTTGATGGCCCGCAAGACTGTCCCAGCTGCCAGCATAGTCATAAGCCATTAAGTTGTAGAAATCCAGATAGGGTGTCATTTCACGAAGCCTGAGCTTTGAGTAATGTTCCTTGCCTGCTGGGCAAGCAATGGTCAAATAGAATTTCCGATATGGGCCAGCTGCCCTGTCCAGGGTCTACACCGTGTCAGCACCGAGAAAGGGCAAAGATAAAGACATCAACTCACTTCACGACACTTCTGCAAAAGTAGCACAAAGTTATATGCCTCGTTATCATCTACGTGGCCGGTTAGCAAATCCCTGCGACCGTCTTCCTGCATTTACTTACCCTTCGGATATTCCCAATCGATATCAAACCCTTTCGATTGTCCGTTAATAAATGACGACGAACTCTTAGATAAATCTATCGATGCAACTTACCATCAAGACCGAGGTCCAACACCAGCCTTGTGGCCGTTTCAGCGAACATCGTGCGTCCGGCCTCCGTGCTTGCCGGCTGGGCAAAATTGGCAGAGTAGGTCCACCCTCCGATAGACAGCAGAACCTTCAGTTGCCTATTCTGCTTCTTGAGCAAGAATAGCTGCTTGATGCATCCATAGACATTAGTACCGACGTCGTTCCATGAGCCGTTGGATAGTGCTTCTCGATGTCGGACCAAGTGTCTGTCAGATACACTTCTCCGGACTCGGGCCGGACGTTGGCGAATGCATAGAGGACATGGGTCAATTTATCTGCGGGGAGATCCTGGGGGTTGTGATTGCGCCCGTAGATCGCCTGGATCAATTAATACCTCTTGAAGGAAGCTCATTCTAGACGCCAACGTACCCAATTGACGAAATATGCCACAGATTTTAGACCGGAAGACATGGCTGGAGGGGTAGATGAGATCAGAACTGAAGTTATCACCAAGGTATCGAGAAAGAAAAGGAGCGAGAAGAATGGCAAGAAATGCAAGACAGTGGATAAGTTGAGAAGATGTCATACTCACCGAGATATAGTTGGTATTTAAATTGAGAGCTCCTCCTGAAAATACACTGCAGCCTGATGGGGGTTGTACCTGCCTTAGGATCGACTTATGACGCGGGCCGGATACCCAAAATAACAACAGGGCTGAGAATTTATTGGCTCAGACCCAGGGTTTACTTGCGGCGGTGCAGGGGTTGTGGGGTGTGGCGAGTGAGATGGTTGTGGCTGACGAGCTGTCACTGACTGTGGCTAATGTAACTAACTGAAGGATGACACAAGATGAGTAAGACAGTTTGAAAGAAATCTAACCACTTTATATAGATTCAAATCCAGTCTATTACACTTACTCAGGGCACCAGTTTGTACAACCGTTTGAAACCAACACAAAACCTTTGGTGGCGTAGTCATTCTCTGCCTGACCTGTTACCTTCTCTACTGAAACTTCCATGTTCCTGGTTCTTTATGTCCAGGTGACTGCGGCATTCCCTTGTCACTCCGCACGCGGCTCCCTTGCCATATAGCAGAGTTGTATGGGGATGGTTCATCCCAAGTACTGACACGATCTCATATGATGAGGATCTGAGTCGTGTAAGCTGTCAGAAGGACAGATCGATATCACGGAAAGGTTTCCGTTTTTTCGACGACCAGGATATTTCCTTGCGGCTCTTGAATCCCTGGTTAGTGAAGAGTGAACTACTTGGACAACAGAAAGTCCGGTGATAGTCAAGGAATGTGGTCGAATGTCATCTCGCCTATCTTGGTTGGCCGTAGGGGATATCATGGGAACTCAGGTTACAACCTCTTCAGGCTACGATGACCATAGGTGGTATTAGAGCCACGACGGTGGTCTGTAACGTAGCACAGCTTAATAGATAGTTCATCGCATGCGACGAAGAACTAACCGATCTCAGAGGGTGAGAACATGTCACATCTCAAACTATATCTACCGAAGAGGGTCAGTGCACATGATCTATCCACTTTGGGTTGGACTATGATGCTAATATGCCTTGAACTGTCGGTTCGAATTGTGTACATATCCTACATTCATCCAGACCAATCAATTTGAACAGCAGTACTGTCATAAATCCAGTCAAAGATACTTCGCAGTCCGTCTTGTTCTCAGTGTCCACCAACTACATCAGCCTGAACGTAGCAAGGTGGAAGGAAGATACAGATTCAACAGCATTCGTGACTTGGAGTCACGAACCTTGGGTTTCTAGAAAAGGTAAAAAGATGTTGAGATGTTGAGTAAGAAATCCTTGCGTAGGAGAACTCCGACTCAGGTCAAGTTCACAGTAAACGAAGCAAATCCCGAGACATCGGCAACCCAAAGGAGTTAGTAAAAAAACCGTCGAGTAAATTGCCTTGCTTCAGACAGACGAAACATCACACGCGCTTCATAGCCAAGGACGATCTCTAATGTCAAACCGGCTGTCTGGAGCAAGCATACATGGTACAGACAGTTGAACCTTAGCAGGAACAAGACCTACCTTATCTGGGTTTTACTGTGGATCCCGCTTGTACCTCCTCAGCTGAACTGTGACGCAGGTCGCCAATCTGGGCATTTGATTGGCACCCGCGGCATTAAACTACTGCAGGGCTTCTCTGCACGGCCACATTCCGATTCCACTGACCACCTCAGGATTGGGAGGGGAAAAAAAAAAATTTTTTCTTGAATGAAAAGTCTGTCTCAACTTTCAACTGCCGTGCATTTTGTGCTAAACTTAGTCTTGCTTTGGGCCCTTCCTTGACTCCACGCAGCTTTCAGCTGGGATGTCCTCGACTAATCGACGCTAAAAGGGATTGTGCATAAACCGTCCATGTGGTTCGGTATCTCCGATGCACTGATCGGTGTTAAGACTTTACCCAGGGAGGAAGGAGAGTACCTTAAGGCAGGATTTTCAGAGCATTCTACTGGTATATCCATGTTGGACCAGGAGTACTCCTGGCCCCGGGACATCCCACACTACCTACTAGTAGTACTTACTAGTATAATCTCCAAGAAAAGAGAGAATAAAAAGAAAAAGAAACAAATAACAATATCGAAAATAAATGAATGGCCAGATTGGATGAAGTTTTCGTCCAATGGCATTGTGTATCGATTGAATGATTTTCACAATCCATTTCATTTGATTTTGTTTTTATTTTATTTTTCCCGTGTCCACTCGTACCCGTGGGCTCCACAGTGCCAATCGGGTCAAAACGCTTGACAGAAAACGACGAGACATTGGAAAGACCAAAGCAAGATACGACTATGTACTAACTACAAGCCGAAGTAGCCTGCTTACTTAACAAAATGACCATAATGGAATAGTGTCAAACAGGTAAACCTTCCGTTATTCATATCTCATTCATCTTTTTATCTGTTCAAACAACCAAAGCCCACTTGATCTATCGGCCGAAAATAATCAATCTAATGGGGAATCGCATTCCCGTCTCTGACTGGTACAGATGTGGTTGCACTTATATAGCCCGAAAGTCGAGATCCATGGAACCCGTAAAAAGACCCAACAACAAGAGAGAGGGGTAAAAAACGAAAAGAAAAAAAAAACAAAAGAAAAGTAAAGGTATTAAAGGTAGAAAAGAACAAAAGACAGTCGACAATGTCAAACGTCTAACATAGGCAATCACTCGTGGGGATATCATAACCATCAACAGCATCATAGTAAAAACAGGTCCCAATAAAAAGAGTGTGGGGGAGGGTATTTTTAGTTTGGTGGAAGAGGGGCATCTTCCCTAGGCGCAATTAAGCGACCCGCGCTTAATCACCTGTCATGCCACCACATGAATCGTGATTTGCTCTCGGCAAACATGCTGGCGTGCTTCATGGATGGGATTGAATCCAATTGCGCATTACCGATAGAGATGGATCGTCATTAAGCCAATGGCCTGCGCGCATATCGGCTGCCCGAAGATCAGCCACAACGTATTCATCTGTCACCTGAGCGAGCTCCTGTTCAATGCCGCAACGTCAGTCTAAAGAGCTCTGTGGTAGTTTGCATAGAAAAGAACTGACCTGTCGGAATGTATCGTCTACGAGCTCCAAACGACGAGCATGTGTCGGGTCGGGTCTCTGTCCTCGTAGCACATTTTCCCGATTGATAGACCATCTTCTCCCTGCTGCCGCGCGGAGGTAAATCTTATGGGCTCGGAAGCGACGGGCGGCTGCATCGAGTATGACCCTATTATGGTGTTAGATAGGTG